CGGCACCCGAAATGCAACTACGGCTGCGGACTGTGCGTGGACCCCATCGTCGGCCTCCCCGTGCCCGAGGCTGGCTGCCGACAGGGAGAGGGGTCCCAGTCCAGTGGACCGGGTTGCCCAGCGCTGAGGTTAGGGTTGGCCGGGTTGGCTGGTTCCTGGAGCATGGCTACCAGAGCCACACTTTAGTCATAGCCACTATCGCAAAAACGAACAGTCCCGGGCGCTGTCGCAAAAAGGAACAATCCACTATTGCAAAAAAGAGTAGTTAGGCACTGTCGCAAAAAAAAATTCCACTGTCGCAAAAAGAAATATTCACCTTTCACCATACGACATAAAAGCTACGAATTTTTAGTAATGCCATTCCGATTATGCAACGCCCCAAGCTCCTTTCAACGGTACATAAACCAAGTCTTTGGGGACATGGCAGACGCTTTCTTGGTCATCTATTTGGACGACATACTCATATTCAGCAAGAACATGGAAGAGCACCTCAAGCATCTATGACTGGTCATGGGAAGATTACGGGATCATGGGCTGTTGGTACGATCCCACAAATGTACTTTTGCCTATGAGGAAATGGAGTTCTTGGGGGTTGTGGTCACCACAATGTGGTGGGCAAACAAGGCACCTGGCCAGATGAGTCCAAGATCAAGCTGGTGCAAGAATGGCCAACACCATAAAACGTGTACCATGTCAGAGCCTTCCTTGGGCTAGCAAATTTCTACCAACGATTCGTGCCCAAGTTCGCTACCTTGGCCAAACCCATGACGGACCTAACCAACCTACACGAGCCATTTGCTTTTGGGGGATCCACAAGAAATCACGTCCCAAACTCTAAAGGATCGTTTGAGTCACACCCTGTTACTCCTTCTACCAAATGACAATCTGCTATTGCTTTATGACTGATGTGAGTGACTTCGCGATAGGGGCCGTTTTGATGCAAGACCAAGGAGGACTATAACTTATTGAGTTCTTGTCACGACGACTTAGATAAGCTGAAATGCGCTACCACACCTATGATAAGGAGATGCTGACCATCATTCATATGCTCAAGAGCTGGCGGCATCTCTTGGAAAGATGGCCATTCCAGCTATATACTGACCATCAAACCATACATCATATACAAACGTAGAAGAATATATCCTGGCGTTAAGCTCACTGAAGCGAATTTCTACAAGACTACGATTTTGAGATATGCTATTGAAAAGGGAGCTGTAATGGAGCCGCCGACGCTTTGTCCCAATGGCCAGGTCTGGCGAGGAGTGGTGACGACTCTGCCAGAATAGACACCAGCCAAGTAGTAAACATGTGCACAAGGAGTACGTCGATTGCATGGTATGACACACAACACCGGGACTTCCAGCATCTAAACGAGTCCATGTTGCAAGAAGATCAGACTTAACCATAGCTAAAATAAAAGCAAAACAAGAAAGCAGAGTCCACAAGTTCATGCACCATCTTTTACGGAAGAAACAAAGAAACAGGCACTGGAAAACATTGATCCCAAATAATACAAAGTTAAGGACCATGCTGCTCTAAGAAGCCCATGATGCACCCACAGCTGGACACATGGGAAGAGCAAGAACCATAGAGCTGCTGGTGCAGCACTTCACATGGCCCAGGATGACCAGGGATGCACGGAAGTATGTTCGTGCTTGTGACACGTGTCAGAGGACCAAGCCAGAGACACAACAAATGTGAGGATTACAACACCCTCTCCCTGTGCTTGACGGGAAGTGGATGCACATCACCATGAATCTGGAGACCTGCTTACTAGAGATGCCCAAAGGACATAATACGGCCATAATATTCACTGATCGTTTCACTGAGGTGGTCCGATTTGCACCAATAACCAAGATGGTAATGGCACCACAATTGGCACGGATCTTTGTGGAACAAGTTTTTAAAAATTTCATATTGCCAAAACGGATTGTCAGTGACAGATACCCTTGACTCATGGGAAGTTTCTGGAAGGCACTATGGAAATAGTTGTCAACAAACTTACACCCGTCAACAACACATCATCTGCAGGCCGATGGGGCTAGTGAGCGAGCCATGTGCACCCTGGAGCAGATTCTTTGAGCTTACATGGCGTACGACCAGCGAGATTGGGCGGAGCACTTGCCGGCCATCGAATACACCTACAATTCTGCAGAACACGCAACCACTAGAGTGACACCCTTCTTCTTGATGATGGGGCAGCATCCTTGGGGGCCACTCGAGTCGATTGCAAATTTTAAAGCTAAAGGATCCCAGAATAAATCAGCAGCATCTATGATTGTGAGGATGCAAGCTAACACGGTAGTGCCGTGACAGCACAAGCTCATCAAGCCATAGAAGAAGCTCAGGAGTATCAGAAGAAGTATACCAACAAACATCAGTGAAAGGCTACTTTCAAGGTTGGAGACTAAGCTACCAATAAGCTACCAAGTTACCACTAAACGGGCAGCTATAAATATAACTGCCTAGCTCATCTTTTGTAATCTGAAGTTCCATTGCTCCTTGAGACCCGAAGCTGCACAACGGGCCCGGAGTTGCCAACAAGGCTCCACGCCTCCCCTTGCACTTTAATTAAGGGTATTTGGGAAGTATAATAAATATTAAAAAATAATTTTATCCCTTAGTAGAGATTATTAAGAACCCATAGGTTCTTGAATCAGTCCATTTGGGTTAGTGGAGATATAACTACCAGAAGTTACAATACTTAAGGTACCCCTCCACACCGTATTGGGGGATAAGATAATATCGATACACTGCATTGTCACATGACACCAAAGGTGGGCCCGGCCAAATGGGGTAAGAACGGGAACGGGGACAGTGTCCGTTCCCGTCCCAAGAACGGACCCGCTCCCATCCCAAGAACGGACCCATTCCCGTCCTAGGAACGGGCCCGTTCCCGTCCCAGGAACGGACCCGTTCCCAATCCGTTCCCAGTCCGTTCCCAGTCCATTCCCAGTCCATTCCCAGTCCGTTCCAGTCCGTTCCGAGTCCGTTCCAGTCCGTTCCAAATCCGTCCCATGTCCGCTCCTTGGCCGTTCCTGGGCCTGCCGGCCCAAGGACGGGAATGGACTCTAGTCCGTCCCCATTCCCAACCCCGTTCCTAGTCCGTCCCCATTCCTAGACGGCCCACCTCTGCATGACATGGGGCATGCCAAATGGTGCCCCTGATGCCTGACCTGTTGTAAATCTTACCGACCATTCGCCTCCGCGCGGTTGCACTCGCGAGCCGCACCAGCGTCGCGCACCCTATGCATGCATTGCCTCCCCGCACCCGGCTAATCGCAGGCCTGGGCCCACACTGCACACCCCGAAGGAGCAAGCAATTCGGACCGCCCACCGGTCATCTTGTGGAGGAAGCCATTCCGGCCAAATTGGGCGCCGCGGCGGGCACATCGCCCACACATCGAGCCGCAAACCATGCCAATTGTTGTGTCTAGTCATCATAACAAGGCATCAGCTACTCCATTGTAGCTTCCCTTTTGGTAGCATATTTTGAAATTGTAGTCTTGTAAAAACTCACTCCAACGTGCTTGGTGCCAGGAGAGATTCTTCTGCATTTGTATATATCTTATATTTTGGTGGTCCATATGCAGTTGGAAACGTCTCCCTTCCGAGAAGTGCCACCATGTCCTCAGGGTGTGAATGATGGCTAGCATTTCTTTGTTGTAGGGTGCGGTGGTCATGCATTGACCAAAGAACAGGTGGCGCTGCTTCGTAGGAGCTGTAAGGAAGCCGTAGAAAAGTGGTCAATGCCTTGAGTGGCACTGTAGGAAGTCGGACCGTGGATCATCAGCCCGAATGGGCAGCCACATGAAGATCCTTGAACAGTCGCCAAATGTATGCTGATTCGGGATGACAATGCCTGCTGCGACTGGGGCACTGCACCGCCAAGGTTGCAGCTCGGGAATTGACAGTCATGAAGCCGCCACCCCACCTTGCTGTAGGCACTCATACGACAACAGCTCATCACGCTGCTCAACGCCTCAGCTACGAGCCGATCGAGCCGGGCAGGACCTTGCCTGGAAACCCCATCTTGCGGGGGCCGTTCCTGACATGTAACACACATGCGGAGACGAAATCATCAGGGCAAGGTAAGGCCTAATCTAGAACGCATTGATAGTTTAGAATGTGTCAATGAGCCCTGTACCCTAGCGCCCAAGACATGTTCATCAGTCGTGAATTGCCGAGTCCCCCACCCCACCCCCTTCTTTCTTCGGGTGAGTTGGCAGACATGGCTCAACTCCACATACGCTTAGCGCCGCAGGCCAGCCATCACATCATCTACACCAGTGATGCAGCACATGCGCTAATCCAGAACATCACGACAGTTCAGTGAAAGTGAAACTTGGGGTTTGTTGGGTGACTGTTCTTCCTTTGTCTACAGATGCCAGAAAATCGACAGCAACAACAAACGCTTAGTGATACAATCGTGATACAACCAACGACAATCTGGAGACCTGACACTTCTCATTACACAGATTGATTACAACTTCCAAGCCTCGCACACACAGGTGACCTACTTATGTTGATCTGCCACGACACAAACACACCATTGCCAACCCCCTCTTCCCCCACAATAGTCTTTCTTCCTGCTATTGCACACGAGCGCCAAGCCACCTGCAATGTTCAGGCTTGCTTGCTCGTTGGAGTTTCCTCCCAGTGTCGCAAAAATTGGCAGGCCCTTCCCCACCAGCACTTTCCTGCCTCCCTGCGATTGTGCTTGAGCACAAAGCTGCCTGCGATGTCCATGCCTGCTCCTTGGACTGCAATTTCAAACCCTTCCCTAAAATTTTGCAGTTCCAAGCGCCTCCAGTAGGCATCATCCAGAAACCGCTTCCATGATAGTTGTACATCTACCAGCCATCATCGCTTGCTTCACGATCATTGCTCAACAGTCTCGATGACCCACACACATACGGGGATCCCACCTCTGAGAACCTGTCCTCACCACTTGGACACAATTAAGGTCTGGCAGCCACCATCCTCCTCACCGCAGCACTTCAAACCTTCGCATACACGTCATTAATGTCTTGCTGCGGAGGGGGAGTGGCATGGCTGAGGGGCACCATGACCACACCAGATGCGGGAATACCTGTTGCTGCATTTACAGTCACCGTTTCCAGCTCTCCCTGCCACACACCATCCTGAACGTGATTGCGAACAATCGTCCTGACCTCTTGACACAAGGCGCATGGCTTGCAGAAGGTCCACACACACGCGTCCTCCAGCTCAGGTGCACCCTCACAACACAGGGAAGGACCGTCGATCCCGAACTTGTTACGCAGCTGCATGCGGTTCCAGGCTCCTGCGATCGTGATGGTGAGAAACACCACCACAGCAATTACCCAGTATATGGCAATGATAGTAGACTCGTCGTCTTTGTACTTGTCCTTAATCTCGACCTCGCGAATGCCGAAATTCCAATAGATTAAATCGTCGTCATCGTCCTCATCCTTGCTGTTAGAGGACTCGTCCCGCTCTATGAAGTCAGTGGACTCGTCGTCATCGTCTTCAAAGACTATAAAGCCAAATTTGGTTTTACAAAAGATTCGAGCGTATGTGTCGGTGGCAATGGTCATGAAGAGGAAGAGCACAGCCCATAAAAGGGCCCTCTGGAAGTTGCCGAAAACACGATACTTCAGAAACCTAGCAGCACACAAAGGCACGATCAACCCAAAAAATTATGTTAAAAAAATATGTTAAGCTGTGCAGAGCAGCTGCATGCTGGCCAAAGTCACATGATATGTGCCAAAGCAACTGGCGTGAAGCATCCAATACACCTTAAAGATGCGGTATGCTTCAACTTGTCACACTTGCAGACCAGAACGGGCCTGCAACGTTGTGAATCCACCACTTGGGCTTCAAGTCTTACTCCCTCCCTTGAAGAGCTACCCACAGGATACGCTGGTGCTGCAAGCAGACCGCACAATCGACAAAGCGCTCCAACGCCAAACCTGGCCAATGCTGTACAAGGGAATTGGCATTGGCCGCAAGTTGGCCTTTGGGTCCAGCTCTGGACAAATTCATCAAGGAATTCATGCTCCCCAGAAGCAATGCCGGTAGGAAGGCCGAACGCAGGTGCCTTCGCGTTTCTTCTAGTGGAAGTCAAGCGCCCAGCCGCCGCTGCTCTAAGGCGAGGATGGCCCGGCCCTTCGCTGTTCTGACAGCCAAGCGGGCGGAATATGCACAACGGCTGAAACCGCGCCAGCGCTGCCGCGCCCTAAGGCAGCAGGAGTGGAAGCGGGTAAGAACAAGTCTTGGAGACGGAAAAACAGGTGAACGAACGCACTGCCCCACCCCACGCGTCGCAAACCACAGCCCCACCACGAGCCGAACATCGGACCTTCGCCACAAGCAAGAATCCGACCGCCGTGTCGTTCGGGCGGAATGAACACCAGTTCCGACCAAACTCCACACGTTCTGAACGGACACACAGCGCCAATCTCACTCCAGCAAACAAAATCTACCCATTAACGTGCGTAGCATCACGCTGGCTGTGCGTCAGAGTGGGGAGCGCCTCGGGCAGACTGCGCGTTAGGCTGCCACGGAGCACGTGTGCGAGCTGATCAAGCCCCAGCAGGTCCGTAACGGCTCCAGTCAGTCATCCCGCAGCTGAGGGCCAGCCCACCAGCCGTGAGCGATGCAGGCTTGAGCGACGGCAGAAGCCCACGCTCGGAGTATTCGCCCCAAAAGCCGCAACGCGCTGGGTCGCAGGGAGGTCGACGATGCGCAGTCGCAGAGCCTTGCGCCAGACCTGGACGAGCGAGACGGCCGGCAAGATGCCACCATCGCCTTTTGCCACCGGAAGCCCAACAACGACCCTTGATTCAGCGCAGGGCACGCGTGCTGCACCGCTGCTGCTAAGGGCGTCGGCACGCCGCACTCGGACCTCGCCCTGAGACAGGCATTCACAAAACATCGCGAACTGGCGGCGGACGCGCAGCAAAACCGGCGATGTCGGCGGGCCACCGCCGGCCGCTCACGGCGCTCACCCGAACATGCACGGGAAGCAGAAAGTGGACAGGCAGCAGATGCCCCAGCCCGTGCCGTCGCACTCCCCGCAGCAGTGGCAGCACGTCAGGTCCCACTCGCGCCCCATCCCAGCGGGCACCGCCGGGACGTTCACCGGCGCGAACTGCGGCTGGACACCGGCCACCGTCGGCGCGCCTCCCATGTTTGTTGCCGGAGGGTAGGCCTGCTCCAGGGAGCAGTACTCGGTCGGCCTGGTCGTCATATTCTTGCGCGTCGCTGCAAGTAGGGAGCGCACTCCACCAGCCCAAGCCACGCCACCGCCTTCCGATGTGTCTCGCTTGGTCCTGTCAGCCGCGCCTGGCTCATTGACCCCGTTAGGTGGCAGGCAACGGCAGCCCCCGGCCCACGGTACACGCAACACGTTGTCAGGAGTCCAGACAAGATTCCCCGCCCCTGCCTGTTCGCGCAAGAGTTCCTGCCACCTCGGACCCACCTATTTGCCATGTCCCAACGGTAATTTTCGGGCTAGTACATTAGCGCAATACTTCAGAAGAGCGGGAATCAGCCAGCACCCGCCCACCACGAGAGCGGGAAGGGATGGTTACGTCCAGTAAGCTAGTTTACGGGAGGCCCGAAGATGGGCGGGCGAAAAAATTGCTACCCGACAGTGTTCTGTCAGCAGGGCGCCCAGTTTGCGCGGGAACATGCTGCTGCTGGGGCCCCAAGGCAGGCAACGGTCCTTGGGGCCGGGTTTCGGCTCGTTCGGGAACTGTTTGGCGGCGCCGAGGCCTAAGGAGGCGACGTGCCATCAGTCTGCACTTTTGTTTTCTCGCTCCAACCGCTCTTGGTTGCAGCGAGCCCGGTCCCAATCGGGAACATTGCTTCGATCCTTCGAA